TCACTTCTCTTTCTTTTTTCAAACGTTTGAAGGAGTTAGCGGACAAGTCATGTTCCTCCCTTATATCGTCCCGTAGACCTTTCAATTTTGCGTCAAGGTAGGTAGTAAATAAGTCCAAAGCCTGGAAGGCGTCGTTATTAGAACTAACTGGTTTTGGGGCCGGAACACTATCCGTAGGACCAATACTATCCCCCTCGGTATTTAACTCGGTCATATCAGCGATAACAAGTACGTCCGGACTGATCGACAGCTAGGCGAACACAGACACCTGTACGTGTCGCTACTGTCCCAAGCATACCTGTCCCACGTGCACTAGTAGCTGCACGTGCGAGACAAGACACGGACATCCCGTCCACTCGTTTACATAACAATGATAAATATATTTGTTGAGACGGATTCAATGAAGTAATGATAGCATTTTCACGTCTGAAATATTATGCATAACGTTTCGTTATGTCTCCGCGTCTCTTGGGTCATGTTGTAAGTGGAGAGCAAGGTAGGCGGCTGGTGTAGAGAAGCCTTTAGCATCATTGAGTTCAAATTCAAGTTCAGTCATTACAGTACTAACACATATGACTGGTTAAAAATCAAATTGCGATATAAATCTATCAAACTCATTACTTACGAAAATCTGAAAATGGTAATCCAAGTGAGAAAACCAGTTTTACAATAACATGAACATCTGCAAAAAGGGGAGGGGATTGATGAAATGAATATGATATAAATGAAACTGTCAAATATTCTTAAAACTTTGGTATACAACATTTTCATATCTTAATCTATAGCTCATTTAATTTGTTTTTAATCATTTAAATCGATTTTAGTACGTTGAGAGTCATTTAGTGTTTCGAAATCCGCCTGATAATAAAAGGAATTCAAATAATAAACTTTATGAACGTATAAACATGATCCGACAACCCAACATACTACCTAGACGTATGTAACAAACACGGTATATATGTAAGGTCACAGCTATCCGGCAAAAACAATTTGTACTCATGTACATTGTATCACTGTATGATTAGTAATAACACAGTTTATAAATAAGGAGTTCTCCAAACCTGCCTTCCGTTCTCAACAGTAGTTAGGACAATTTTGATTTTCAACTTCTTGTGCTTGGGGAGGATAGGATCCCCCTTGGGGAGGATAGGATCCCCCTTTTAGGAGTTACTGTTACTGTGCGGTTATTCGACATTATGACCAAAGGTAGACTGGAAGCACGTGTCAAATTGTTTTATATTTTTACATTTTTAAATGAATAGTTATTGTCGCAGATCAAATTAAACTATCAATGCATATATATAATGATATGCGTATTTAATCTGAATTGAACGACCTAATCTAAAGTACATGTAAGAACGTAGCAAGGACAAGGTTCAGAGTTGACTTTTTATTTACCATTGAAGAGATAAAAGAACTGATTGCATAAATTAGATACTGGAGGGGCGATAGGAGCACTGTTATTAGTCAGAGAGTGTATGTGAGAAACAAGATGGAAAAGCCGGGAAACCTCTTCCTTAAGAAAACCTTTGTAGTCATTACCGGCGCCAGTAGAGGACTGGGGAGATGTATGGCACTACAGTTTGGTGCCAAGTTTCCAGCTACTTCGGTTCTAGTACTTATGGCAAGGAATGTGGAGGCTCTAGAAAGTGTCAAGTCGGAAGTGTTGTCGTTGGCTCCGAATATCAGCGTATTGGTACGACAATATGACCAGGGACATTCGGAAAATAAGGATTATTTCAAAGATATATTCAATGAAATCATAGCAGAAAACAACTTTTCGCAAGCTGACTTTGAACAGTATATGATCGTACATAACTGTGCTACTATCGGTGATGTATCAAAGAGATCATTGGAACTTTCCGACTCTACGTCAGTCCGGAAGTACTACGATATCAACCTGACCGGGATGATCCTACTTAACACGAGTTTCTTTCAGACTTTCTCCGATTCCACAAAATCTCGTGTCGTCGTCAATATGACGTCAGCAGGTACCTCAACTCCTGTGCCGCCACTACAGCTTTACTGTGCAGGTGAAGTATTCTCGTATGAACACAAACGTTAAATTGAATGTATATCTAAAGTCAGAAAATGAGATAAAAATTACCATAGCCTGTTAAATATATATATATATATATTTTCCAACGGTATGACTTATTATTTTTTTAGCTTCAACCTATCAATTGTGTAATCATATAACAGTGTGTCAACTATGACGTCACAAATGCCATGGAATACATATTTATCTTCCAATTTGTCGCTACTTTTGCCCTAATATTGAGCAATAGACTATCCTACCTCAATCCCGACTCCTTGGGATCTTATATTTGTCCGTGGACAGTTCTAGTCAATTCAGATCGATCTTAACGCAACATGTTACATTTAAATTCAATCGAAAAACTAGAACGTTATTTTCCAACCAAATACTGTTTTTTTTATATTTAACTGGTAAGGCTTGTTTTCTGGTCGTTATCATTTTCTCTAAAGGAAATTTATACTTGTGTGGTGTACGGTCGATGATTTTCTTTTTGATTTAGTGTTCCTTGCTGTTTCGTTGTCACTACCAGATTTTTTTTAGTGCGCACATGACACCATTTTAATTTGAATAACATAGTAGGTGTCTGCATGGCAGAAGACGACTAGTCTTCAGAACACATGGTCTTTTTTTCATCAGTCTCCATGTGAATGTTTTCACTGTTCATTATTTGTTCTGGTGCTATCGATTCTGTGGAAATTTATACTGTGCTTTTTATCTACAATCTTTGCTTTATAGCTATTCAATTAATGTGCTATGTTGTGTAATATTTTGTTTTACTCTGGTGATCGTTATTTTGTTTATAAGCAAAATCATAATTCCAACTCAAACCATGTGAGTATTGATAATTACAAACCAATTAAAGATATATTTAGAGAGACTGGAAAAAGTAAAAGAAGAGTACCATCAGGTATTTAGAGAGGTAAGCGTCGCCCTTTTCATCGACGATATCCGAAAATGTGTGGATTTTTTGTAGTTCTTGTTGACGTTCGTTACATGTATTAATATTTTATGACGTTGTGTAGTATTCACTTGTTATATTGATCGTTATTGTCTACATTCCTCTTATAGGTAAGGCTGCCCGTGACATGTATATGCGTGTACTGGCCGTAGAGGAGCCCTCTCTGAGGATACTGACGTTCGCCCCAGGTGCCTCAGACACAGACATGATGAGAGGAGTAGAAAACATGTGTCCTCTCAAGTCTATGGTTGAAATGCTGAAACGTAAGTGTGCTAGTTTGTTTGGCTGTCTGTATGAGTTTATCGGTTTATCGGTCAACTCTGATCATTAAGGGCCGGAACCTAGTATCGGGGAACCTATTTTATAAAATCAACTGCAGGATAGAATAAGAGAGTTCAACTAGTGTAAGGAGGTGAAAGCTGAAATTTGTGCAGGTATTATAGGTTTTGTACGCAAACGTTTTGTGGTTATATCATATACATGTAGCTATTTAAGAGTAATTCCTTAGAGATAAGATCGTTAATACACACTATGACAGGGTATGGTCAATGTTTATGCCTTTGAAACATTAAAATGTATGTTGTTATCAGAAATCGGTGTTTATTCACCTTTCTCTGTGTTTTGTATGACTCACTTTCTATTCTAAACTCTATCCTGTCTCTGGAGTATATGTTGCTTGAGTATCTATATTGAGGATTGAATTGACATTTCCCCGTCGTTTCTTGTATGTTTTCTTAACTGCTCGTGTAGAAATGATTTAACGTAAAATAAGGCAATTTGGTTACGGCAGCTGGAAAAGTTTGTTTAGATCCGTCTTGAAAGTAAGAAAGCAAACTATTTTTTTTATAAAAGCTAAATTTGGGTGTTTAACTTATTATCAGTACGCTGAATACGAGATGTTTTATATCTTAGCCATTAAGCCATTCTGTGTAGCCTATATGAACTGATAGTGGGTAAGACATGGTATGCAACCTATAGTTACAAATAAGATTAACATTGTTATATCTGATTTTGTCTCTTCAGAGTTTAGGGCTGACGGTACGATGACTCTCCCAGATGTCCCAATCTCTAAGCTTGTCCAGATACTGGAGGAAAACAGATTTGAAAATGCTGTATACGTAGAGAGTGACAAACTATTTTGATTCTGCGTATAGTGTCAACTGAAAATTGTCTATTTGAAAATACTGCATAACCGTCATAATGTCATTCAATTTCCAATAAATATTCGGAGATCTGTTCCATATGAAGTTATTACGCAGTTACAGTTCTTCTTAGACTGAACATCAGTATTGGCTTGCTGCTTTTTATAAAAGGATTAATATTCCGTCTTTGCGTATTGCAGAGTTATCTTCTCTTGTGAACAGGTATTGATTGTTACGTCATTGGTTTGTGTGAGAAAATTACGTCGTTTTCTCAAAAATTGATGACGTTACTCTCACAAGCCAATGACGTTATAATCAATACCTGCTCACAAGAGAAGATAACTCTGCAATACGAAAAGACGGAATTGTGTAATCGTTTGATGTATTCATGCTTTTGCTTTGAATATTTATTAAAAAATGTATATGATTTGTAAAAGAAAAGTTGAATATCACTATTTAAGGTCTAACTTGAATATATTTTTTATGTTATGGAGATTTAACAAAAAAAATGAGAGTACACTCCGTTTTTTTGTGTTATAGCTCCATAACATAAAAAATATATTCAAGTTAATCCTTATAATTTAATCTACTATACACAATCCCTGTGGAAATCAACTTTTATTGATGGACTCTTTTCTGTTAGAAATTATTACGCCGCTGTATCAGCCAATCAAAAGCGACGTTACAAACGGCGACGTCATTTTTTATGTTATGGGATGAAAACATAAATGTTTAGGCCAATGAAAAGGTTTGTTACAAGCAAGATTAAATTATAAACAATATATCTGTAAATCTTATGATGACGATTCCAGATTATAAAAAGATGAACCTAGCACACACAGGTTATTGTACCTATTAGGTGCAGTTATTAATAAAGTATGCCGAAATTAACAACGCTTCATCATACATTTGTAACATTACTTCAACCATGTAAGCAATAACAGCGAGGTTTAAATAACACTATTTGTTGATTAACAGTATTTTTTACTTCAAAAACACCGAACAATGCTTAATCTACTTAAAAAAATGTAATACTATAAATAATTATCGGAATATTCAAACATGTATTATATACTTGCTTATTTCTTGAAATTCCATCTGCATATTCCGAAACCAACAGATAATATATAGCGTGAAGAAAGAGACAAAAACAGGAAAGCAATCAGCAGAAACAAGAAAATGAGAGGTAATTAACATAACCATACAACAGATACTGAGCTACCGACTCTAGACGACAAGAGAAACTGAAGAAACACCGATGCCAGCGGACAACAGCAACCGAGCTACCGATTTTAGACGACAATAAGAACTGGAGAAACACCGACTCCAGCAGACAACAGCAACCGAGCTATAGACTCTAGACGACAAGAGGAACTGGAGAAACACCGACTCCAGCAGACAACAGCAACCGAGCTACCGATTTTAGACGACAATTACAACTGGAGAAACACCGACTCCAGCAGACAACAGCAACCGTGCTATAGACTCCAGACGACAAGAGGAACTGGAGAAACACCGACTCCAGCAGACAACAGCAACCGAGCTATAGACTCTAGACGATAAGAGAAACTAAAGAAACGCCGATGCCAACGGTCAACGGCAACCGAGCTACAGACTCTAGACGGCAAGAGGAACTGGAGAAACACCGACGCCAGCAGACAACAGCAACCGAGCTATAGACTCTAGACGATAAGAGAAACTAAAGAAACACCGATGCCAACGGTCAACGGCAACCGAGCTACAGACTCTAGACGACAAGAGGAACTGGAGAAACACCGACGCCAGCAGACAACAGCAACCGAGCTATCGACTCTAGACGACAAGAGGAACTGGAGAAACACCGACGCCAGCAGACAACAGCAACCGTGCTATAGACTCTAGACGATAAGAGAAACTGAAGAAACACCGATGCCAACGGTCAACGGCAACCGAGCTACAGACTCTAGACGGCAAGAGGAACTGGAGAAACACTGACGCCAGGAGACAACAGCAAACAAGCTACCGACTCTAGACGACAAGAGAAACTGAAGAAACACCGATGCCAGCGGTCAACGGCAACCGAGCTACAGACTCTAGACGGCAAGAGGAACTGGAGAAACACTGACGCCAGGAGACAACAGCAACCAATCTACCGACTCTAGACGACAAGAGGAACTGGAGAAACACCGACGCCAGCAGACAACAGCAACCGAGCTACGGACTCCAGACGACAAGAGGAACTGGAGAATCGCCGACGCAAGCAGGCAACAGCAACCGAGCAATAGACTCAAGACGACAAGAGGAACTGGAAAAACCCCGACGCCAGCAGACAACAGCTACCGAGCTAACGACTCTAGACGACAGTAGAAACTGGAGAAACACCGACGCCAGTAGACAACAGCAACCGAGCTACCGCCTCCAGACGACAAGAGGAACTGGAGAAACACCGACGCCAGCAGACAGCAGCAACCGAGCTACCGACTCTTNCCGACGCCAGCAGACAACAGCTACCGAGCTAACGACTCTAGACGACAGGAGAAACTGGAGAAACACCGACGCCAGCAGACAACAGCAACCGAGCTACCGACTCCAGACGACAAGAGGAACTGGAGAAACACCGACGCCAGCAGACAACATCAACCGAGCTACCGACTCCGGACGACAAGAGGAACTGGAGAAACACCGACGCCAGCAGACAACAGCAACCGAGCTACCGCCTCTAGACGACAAGAGGAACTGGAGAATCACCGACGCAAGCAGGCAACAGCAACCGAGCTACCGACTCTAGACGTCAAGAGGAACTAAAGAAACACCGACGCCAGCCGACATCAGCAACCGAGGAGTTACTGAATCTAAACGCCAAGATAAACAGTAGAAACGACGATGCAAATAAATACCAGTAACCGAGGAGTCACCAGCAGCTCTAAATGACAAGAGAAACGAGACAGACACCGACGTCAACTGACAGTAGAAACCGGCAGACCCAGACAGCATGAACTGAGAAGATACCGACACTAGATCACCCTTGTTGGTCCTAATAGAAGTGCGCTGGGGGTCTTTGATTATTCAGGAAATCGAAATACCCGATGAAAACCCACGCAGGGTTGTCCCTAGAATTTCGTTAAGCTGATATGTTTCATTTTTAACGGACGTTCAAAAGGGAAAATTAATGTCATCTCACATTTAAAATTATGGTAAGAGAAAATGTTTAACTAAAAATTACCGTGTTAAAATTTCTTCTAAAACTTTATAAAATAATGTCAATATTGATAAAAGGTTGAAACAACTTTTTTGATTGGGGCCTTTCTTCCTATAAAAATAACAAATCAGGATTTCCTCTCCGCTTTCCGTTGTGTACTATACACACGCTGTTTCAGCGTTGTCAAATACAATCATATGTGAGTAAATTAATTCATAATGGCCTCATCAAGTGTTTGTTTTTCAAGTCTTAAAGTTGTTTTCTCAAATGTTTCTCATGTTAGAGGACCCAGTGGTAATAGTTTTATGCTCGAGTGATCACGCTTACCGGACACCTGTGGACTCGGCCACAGACCCCCTCCCCCGCTAATTACAGCCCCCTGAGGTACATGCCACCGTGCAACTGACAATATGGTCATTGGTGGACTTTGGGCAGCCTTGTTATTTAATGAGTGTCAAATTCTGGTGTGAAAGACCCCCTCAGAACAAATAAAAAGATACCGTTAACAGTTTTAGGTCATAAGGCCAGTGAAGCTGATACAGCATGGTGGATTTCTACCTGAAGCTGATACGGATCCGTATCAGCTTAACGGCCTAGGGCGACCTTGGTCCTGTTCCCTGTTGAAAGGCAAGTGCGTTTTCCACAGCGCCATCCGACCACCCTGCCTCATCTGATAGACCATGAAATTAACCCAGTGTTTCTCCTGGGTTCAAATTGCATTGATAATTACCCTTCGACCTATTGACCAGAGAATAAATCAATATGTTCACATGATAGATAATTTAGATACTGCGGCAGTAGACGGGGTGATGAACTCTGTATCTTTATCAATCTTGTTTACATAAATTAGACAAGAAATAGCAACCTGATGGAGACACAAGAGAACATCTTCATTAGGATGTGCTTTGTAGTTATAGCTGGCGCTAGTGGAGGACTATGCAGATGTATAGTTCTAAAGTTTGGTGCATGTTTCTTCCTCATCTGTGATTGTACTTATGGCAAGGAATATGGAGGATTTGGAAAACATCAGGATGGGCCTGTTAGCATCGACTCCTAAATTAAACGTATAAGTAAAAAAAATGACCAAGCGAGAAGCGATAGTGGGTATTTCGATTATTATAATATAATTCGAGGTTCTTATATACCGCTTTATCACAACCTAGTTCATAGGTCGTCTCGAAGCGGTTCATTATTATCCGTGGTTATAGGGCCTTTGCAACCAGCCAATATCTTTCTCAACTCCCTGGGGAGCATACAGTCGGTGCTGCCATTTCGGCGCTAACAGCTAGCATTTCAACAATTCGAGCACTGTCCAACCACGTACTCATTTACAGCTGAGTAGACTGGAACAAGCGAAGTAAAGCATCTTGTTCAAAGATATAACACAGTGCCGTGCCGTGACTCGACCCCGCAACCCTTCGGTCACAAACCCGGCGTTCTACCTCTAGACTACCGGCGACAGCGAGAAAGCCGCACTTCAACAATGTGACGCAAAACCATGTACAAATCAATTTATTTGATTGATGTTATTTCATCAATTTATTTAATTGATGTTATTTATTCAATCAAATGTAGTTTCCGGAATCAAAATTCATGTAATTATGCCAATCTGTGTTTGTCCCCCTATTCTAAATACAAGATAGGTCAGATATTTGTATTCCTCTCATCTTTGTGTGGTGTCCCTTTGGTATCGCCTTAGAGTTTAGCGTTTGCTTACATGTAGGTACTGACTATATGTTTTATATAGACACCGAGTACAGATTGGGTAACAGTTTGTTGTTGATGTACTATATTTTACTTCATTTCAGACAGAAGTTAGCTTTGGAAATTGTGATATATTAAAAATATTCAGCATAAATTCTCATCTTTGAATATGAATTTTGTACAGTTGACGATCAAGTTAGTTTTTTTCTTCACTTTCAGTTTTTACAATGAAGTATAAAGGTTTGTAAACGATTATACAATTGTAGTATGATATTAATTGAAGTCAGTCCACTGCATTGGTATACTGATACATGCTTACAGTGTGTTGATAATACAACAGAACATTT